CCCTGCACCTTGTTGTCAGAGGTCTACAAAATTATGAGAGGCATAGATAGTCAGAGGTTTTTTCCCAGGGTTGAAGTCAATTACAAGAGGGCACAGGTTCAAGGTCAGAGGGGAAAAGTTTAAGGGAGATATGTGAGGGAAGTTTTTCACGCAGAGAGTGGTAGCAGCCTGGAATGCACTACCAGAAGAGATGGTGGAAGCAGGCACACTAAAGATATTTAAGAGGCACCTAGATGGTTACATGAATAGGGAGACAATAGAGGGATAAGGATCGAAAAATGGCAGATTTGTTTTTAGATTGATTAGGGCATGATGGTTGGCACAGGCCTGGAGGGCTGAAGGCCTTGTTTCTGTGCTGTACTTTTTCATTTGTTCACTTACAAGTGTATGGCCTGCTAAGACCATGGTGATTTTACCTTTACATGTATATGGTGGTGGTAAGAGAAAGGCAACTCAAGAATGGCAGTGTTTGTTGATACTGGCCACTGTGCATGCATGCTAATCCAAAAACGGGTATGCGCACAGTTCCAGACACAACAGAACATCACGTGAAATTTACGCGTGACGTCATATGCAAAGGCCACACCATACACATGCAAAGAAGCTTGTGTGCTTTTGAAACAGGGTTCAGCAGTGGGAAGGACGGACGAGGAAGGGAGGGGAGCGAGGGAAGGCCATCCTAGACTGGGTATCATGTAAGGAGAAAGGAATAATTGGCAATCTAATTCTGTGAGGATCCTTGGGGATGAAAGATCATAAGGTGATAGAATTCTTCGTCAAGGTGGAGAGTGACACAGTTGATTCTGAGCCTAGGGCTCTAAATAGAAGAAGCTGCAAAGGCATGAGGTGTGAGCTGGCTATGACAGATTAAGAAACATTGCTTAAAGGGATGGTAGAGGGAAAGGCAACAGTAAACATTAAAAGAGCACATAGGTGAACAGCAACAGTTGTTCACTCCTGACTGCTGCAAAAATAAATGAGAAAGGTGGCCAAACCATGGCTTACAAGGGAAATTTGTTGCTATTAGATCCAAAGAAGAGGCATACAAATTGGCCAGGAAAAAAAAAATACACAATAGAATCATGGAATGGGAGCAGTTTAGAATTCCACAAAGGAGGATGAGGGATTGATTAAGAAAGGGAAAAACAGAGTATGAGAGTAAGCTTGTGGGAACATAAAACTTGACTATAAAAGTTTCTATGGGTATGTGATAATACAAAGCTTGGTGAAGACAAATGTAAGTGTCTTACAGTCAGAAAAAGGAATTTATAATGGGGAACAAAGACATTGCTAATTAAATAAATACATATTTTGCGCTGTGTTCACAAAGGAGGACACAAATTACATACCTGAAATGTTGGCGAACACAGTTTAGAAAGAGGGAGGAACGAAGTAAAATCAGTGTTAGTAGGGAAATGGCATTGTGGAAGTTGTTGGAATTGAAGGCTGATAAATCCTCAGGACTTGATAATCCACATCCCAGAGTACTTAAGGAAGTAGCCCTAGTAAGAGGCGATGCCCTAGTAAGTGGTCATCTTCGGTTCATCTTCCATGATTCTATAGACGCTGGAAAAGTTTCTGCAGATTGGAGGGTAGCTAATGTGATCTCTCTGCTTAAAAAGGGAGGTAGTGAGAAAACAGCGAATTAAATAATAGTGAGCCTGATGTGGATAGTGAGGTAAGTGCTAGAGTCCATCACAAAAGATTTATTTGCAGACCACTTAGAAAACAGTGGCAAGATTGGACACAGCATGGATTTATATGCTTGACTAATCTAATGGAATTCTTCAAGGATGTAACTAATAGAATTTATGAGGGGGAGTCAGTGGATGTGGTTTACTTGGACTTTCAGAAGGCTTTTGACAAAGCCCCATATAAGAAATTAGAGTATAAAATTAAAGTGCATGGGACTGGAGGTACGATATTGACATAGATAGAAAACAAACAGCAGGAATAAACAGAGATAACAAGGTGTAGAGCTGGATGAACACAGCAGGCCAAGCAGCATCAGAAGAGCAGGAAGGCTGATGTTTCGGGCCTACACCCTTCTTCAGAAAAACAGGTCTTTTTCCAAATGGCAGGCAGTCTCCAGTGGGATACTGCAGGAATCAGTGCGAGGACCTTGCTATTTACAATATGTAGTAATGATTTAGATGAGGGAACTAAATGTAATATCTGAAAATGTGCAATAACACAAAGCTGGGTGGGAGGCAGACCTGTGGGGAGGATGCAGAGATGATTCACTATGATTTTGACAGGCTGAGTGAGGAGCAAATGCATGGCATATGCAGTATAATGTGGATAAATGTGAAGTTATCCACTTCTGTAACAAAAATAAAAGTTTTAATGGCTATAAATTAAGACAGGGGAATATACAACAAGACCAGGGTGTCTTCGTATACTTGTCGCAGAAGGTAAGCACCCAGGTACAGGAGGCAAATGCTGGTCTTCATAATAGGAGGATTTGAGTACAAGAGCTGCAACTACATAGGGCCTTGGTGAGACCATACCTGAAATATTGTGCGCAGTTTTGGTCTCATTATTGGAGAAGGATAGGCTTGCTATAGAAAAAGTGCAGCGAAGGTTATCAGACTGATTCCTGGGATGGTAGAAGTGACACACAAGGAGAGTTTGAATTGGTTAGGATTATATTCGCTGAGTCAGAAGAATGTGATAGAAACCCATAAAATTCTAACAGAACTCGACAGGGTAGTTATAGAAAGGATGTTCAGAACCAAAGGTCACAGTCCAAAAAGATATGGGGTATACCTTTTGAGACTGAGATGAAGAGAAATTTCTTTACCAAGAGAATGGTGAGCTTGTAGAAAGCAGTTGATGTCAACACATTGTATGATTTCAGGAAAGAGTTGGCTATCTCACTTGGGACTAAATGGATAAAAGCATATGGGGGAAAAACAGGGACAAGTTTTGAAGTTGAATAATCATAATGAATAGTGGAGCAGCGTGAAGGGCCAAATGGCCTACTCCTGTTCCTATTTTCTATGTTTCTATGTAATGGACACATGCCAGCCAATTTGGACAGAACAAGGCCCCACAAACAGTAATGAACAGTAACATGTTTAAGAGATAAATAATGCTGAGGAATAAATGTTGGTCAGGATACTAGGGAGAACTCCCCAACCTTCAAAATAGATCAAAGTAATCTCATAGGTAGATGTGCCCTGTGGAGTGGGACTTGAATTCACTTCAGCTTACAGGTGATTGGGCAATCCAGTGAGGTACACCTGACACACACAACTGAATAGCAAATCAATCAATCTAGACCATTTTGCTTTGGTTAGAAAATCTGGTATAGTGTGAATAATTTGAGGATTTAGTGTGATCTTAGATTTAAAATTGTCAGAGATTACTTCTGCAGTAAAATAATGTTAGGTGTTTAAACTGCATTATTGCAGTCATGTAATGTTTTTGTTTGTCTATTAACTGAGATGTACTAATTTAGAATATCTTGCCTTATTGTCTCCAGTCACACCTTTCTCATAATGTGCCAATGCATTCACATAGTCTCCCCTGGAAAACAAATATTGGTCAATGTGATAAGCAGAACAACATATATATTTCTACCATTAACCCAAAAATATGGAAAGTTCATTTTGAAACAACTTAATATGCATATAACCTAACTCATGAATATTCAGGTCAGATCATGCACTTATTAAAAGCATTTTATTTAAACAAAAACAAAGAATGGATTTTTATATCTAATGAATACTGACACAAAGCCTGGGTGCATGGCATGCAAAAAGGTTTCAGTGATAAAAATTGATGAGATGTAAACAAGTAAACAATGTATGTGAAAAATTAGCACTTAGTTGGAAATTATCAAAGATAATGAATGCATTTGGTAAATTCTATTAAAAGTACAGAGAAAAGACAAACATATATCGAAACAAACAAGGAAAAGGTAAAATAAATTGCTAACCTAAAATTGCAGTAAGACAGGATTAAAAAGAATTCTCCAAATTATGCACCAATAAATCTACAATGCATATACGGATGACAATTCAAATTAGGTTTTTGCTGAAAGAGATTCAAATGATCCAGTAATTCAAATGAAACAACAGAAATAAATCAAAAAGATCAGCACGCAATTTCCATCAGGTACACTGTACGGTAGCTCGCATATTACATGTGGAGCTTACCGATTATATTTCCAATTTAAAAACAATCCATTTTGTACATACGTGAACTCGAGTTGAATAGCATATTCTTTGGAGATAAATGCGATCTGATCAGGAGCCAGCCGTTTAGCTAATTGTAGAGCACTGTCCCAATGCTGTAGATCCCTCCGCATCTAGATGATGAAAGTAGTACATCTCACCAGAAATAAACTCATACATTAGAAACAGCAATAAATATTTTAAAGTGAGATAATACATAATCAGAGTTCTTCCAAGACACAATTTAAATTAGATTGCATGATTAATGTACTTTACAAATTTAATTATATGCTTTTTTAAGAAGATATCACTTAACAGGCTTAAAAGATTCAACGATCATCATTCTGGCAATTACTGTGTTGTATTGTAGGAAGAATGATCTTGAATGAAGTAAAACCCTACTGGCCCTGCCCATACATAAATACGAACATACATACAAATCCACACCAGCAGTAGGCCATTGAGTCAGATCATGGCTGATCTCATTGTAACCTTAAATCCAAATTCCCGTCTCCTCCTGATAACCATTCAACATCTAACTTAATAAAAGAATCTGCCTTAAAATATTCAAGGACTTTGTTTCCACCACCTTTTCAGGAAGAGAGTTTCACAGACTTGAAACTCTTGAAGATAGAAATTCATCTAAGCTGTTTAAATGGTGAACCGTAGTTCTAATTTTCCCATAACAGGAAACATACTTTCCATATTTACTCTGACAAGACTCCTCAAGATTTATATATATCAATCAAGTCACCTTTTATTCTTCTAAACTCTAGCAGATACAAACGTAGACCATCCACCCTTCCTTATAAGACCACTTGACCATGTATTAATCAAGTAAACATTCTCTGAACTCCTTCAACACATTTACATCCTTCCTTCAATGAGGTGACCAATGCTGTTCACAACACTTCAGATGTGGTCTCACCAGTGTCCGGTATAACTGAAACATAATCTTCCCACTTTTGTATTCAATTTCTCTCATGATAAATGAAAATATTTTAATAATTTTCCTAATTACTTGCTGTATCTGCCTTGTAACTTTTTATGATTAATCCACAAGGCCTCATAGGTCTCTGTAATCTCTCACTATTTAGAATATATGGTAATTTAATATTCTTCCTGCCAAAATGGACAATTTTACATTTTCCCACAATATACAACATTTGCCACATCTTCATCCACTCACTTAACCAATCAATATTTTTTTGTAACCTCCTAATGTTATTTTCACAACCTATTTTCCTACTTATTTTTGTGTCGTCAGCAAATTTGGCAACCATGTGTTTTGACCCTTCATCTACATAAATTGTAAATTTTTGAGGTTTCAACATTGATCCCTGTGGAACATCACTTATTAAATGTTGTCAACCAGAAAAATAACTATTTACATGTATTCGTTCTGCTTCCTGTCAGGCAACCAATCTTGTACACATTCAAATATTATACCATCTACACCACGAGCTTTTATTTTCCGCAATAACGTTTGATACAGCACCTCTTCAAATTCCTTCTAGAAATCCAGTACATCGATTCGTTCCACTTTATTGACAGCACGTTACCTCCTCAAATTCATCAAACATGATTCTCCTTCCAGAAAATTTTGATTACCTTGAATTTGCCCGACAATAGCTTCTTCAATAATCGCTTCTAAAATTTCCTGTATGACAGCTGATTGATTTGTGGTTTCCTGCTTTCTGTCTCCCTATCTTTTGAATAAAGGAGTAACATTTTCTATCTTCCAAAATAATTGGGACCATCCCTGAATCAAAGGAGTTTTGGAAAATTAAAATCAATGCATCGCCATCTCACTAGACACTTGTTCTAGAAGACCCTCTAGTTCTCTAAATAGGCTGTTTTAGAGTTTAAGTCAGTCAAAAATTCTGGAGTGGTAGCATATGATTTGACCAAGCAGGAGAGTCAGAGGATCAACCATGACGCAACTTACAAAACAAAAATCTCTCTCCTGGTCGTAGGATTAAAACAAAGGTATTCCCATTATTTTGGTGAAAGAGAACCTATAGCATCATTTATTCTTTCAATGAAATACTGACAGGATGGCAAAAGAAAGAGGGCAGAATATAATACACTTCCCTGTGACCAGTTTGATGGGTAGGTGGGGATTTAAATAGATGGCAGTTAGCAGTTGAGGACCCCACCCCCTTCCCACCTTTCTCCTGATTAAGTCCGTGGTGGGAAGACCCAATAATGGCTTTCCTGTCCTGCCTCCAATTGAGTCCTGTAAATGGGCAACTAAGGGTGTGCTGAAATCCAGCTTACTGACATTTAGGTATCAGTATGTTATGTTGGCAGGCGACAAAGAGCATTTCCTATAGATGACAAACACTTAAAGCTCTATTTAGATGCAATAGTGACTTCCATTTGCTAATCGTTCTTCAGAATTTTTCCTTACAGACAATGAGGAAATGCTGAACTAATAAATAATTTCCTAGCCATTTAAATATAGCTCATTATTTGTAAAGCAGACCAAAATGAAAAATCAATTCCACACATTGATTTTTTTCAAATAATATTTTGCTTCTGCATCTTTAAAACCAGACTGGAAAACAGAAAAAAAAGTACATTAAGAGTAAATTGAACATGAGTTCAACTGACTGAGATAACTGATACAATCAATTAATAAGCACTTTTACCGAAACAAATGATGTGATGTCATTTGTTAATGTGTATACTTTTTCTGTTCCCTACTATCTCTGCTTGTCTTGTACACTGAACACAAGACATGACCAAAAGCCTGGTCATAGCATTGGACTTTAAAGGAGAAGAAAGAGGTGGTGAGACCAACAAGTTTAGAAAGTAAATTAAAGAGCTCAAGGTCTAGGAAAATGATGGGAAAATTGCTGACACTGGGGATATAAAAGGGAGGTTTGCTGAAGAAGCGAATCTCAAAGGAATTGACAATTTGGCATGATTTCTTAATTCAGTAGTAAGTAACTCACCTCCTGCTTCTCCAATACCTGTCCACTATTTATAATGCACAAGGAGAGTGTGATGGAAAATCACCACTTGCCTGAATTGGTGCAACTTCAACAACAACATTCAAGGGGTTAACATCACCCTATCCGCCACTTTTAATATTCACTCCCTCCACCATCAATGCACAGTGGTAGCAGCATGTCCCATCTACAAAATATGAAGTAATTCACCAAGTTTCCTTTCATCAGCACCTTGCAAACTTGTAACTTCTACCATCTAGAAGAAGAGCAGCAGATACATGGAAATAACACCATTTGCATGCTTCCCTCCAAGCCACAAGCTATTCTGACTTGGAGCTATATTCCCTCTCCTTCACTGTTGGTGGGTCAAAACCCTGGAATTCCCTTACTAACAACACTGTGGGTGACTCTACACCCCAAGGTAGTTTCAAGAAAGCAGCTCACTCCCATCTTTTCCAGCACTGGTACTGACGAAGTGATCCAGAACTTGCCACTCCTCTAGCCAAGCTGTTTCAGTACATCTACCTGACAATGTGGAAAATTGTCCAAGTATGTCCTGTACACAAAAATCAGGACAAATCTAACTTGGCCAATTACCATCCCAATCTACTCTCAGTCATTAGTAAAGTGATGGAAGGTGTCATCAATAGTGCTACCAAACAGCACTCGCTCAGCAATAACCTTCTCCGTGATGCCCAGTTTGGGATCCACCAGGGCCACACAGCTCCTGATCTCACTACAGCTTGGTTCAAACATGGACAATACAGACAAATTCCAGAGGTGAGGTGAGAGTGACAGCCCTTGACATCAAGGCCACATTGTACCAAATGTGGCATCAAGGAGCCCTAGCAAAACTGGAGCCAATAGGAGTAAGGGATAAATGTCTCTGCTAGTTGGATTCATATTTGGCACAATGGAGAATGATTGTGGTTGTTGGAGGTCAGTCATCTCAGCTCCAGGACATCTCTAGGAGTTCCTCAGCATTGTGTTCTTGGCTCAACATATTCAGCTGCTTTATCTACCATCTTGCATCCAATATATGGTCAGAAGTGGGAATGTTTGTTGTTGACTGCACAATGTTCAAAACTGTTTGTGACTCCTCAGACAATGAAGCAGTCCATGCCCAATTGCAGCAAGGCCTTGGACAATATCCAGGCTTTAACTGAGAAGTGGCAAGCAACATCATGCCACACAAATGCCAGGTAATTATCATCTCCATTAAGAGATAATCTAAACATTACCCCTTGATATTCAGTGACGCTAGTTTCACTGAATCTCTCACTATCAACATCTTTGAGTTACTGTTCACAAGAAACTGAATTAGATTAGCCATATATCATGCAGTGTACCTACAAGGTGAACTGCAGAAATTCACCAAAGCTCCTTCCAAACCCAAGACCACTTCATCTCAAAGGAGAAGGGCATCTGATAATGGGAACATAACCGCCTACAAGATCCTCTATAAGTCACTTGTTATCCTGACTTGGAAATATATTTTATATTCCTTCAGTGTCACTGGGTCAAGATCCTGGAATCCTTTCCTTAATGAAGTCTGGGTCTACCTACACCACATGGCCTGTAGCAACTTTAGACGGCTGATCACTCTCAAGGGAATCCAGACTTGGGCAGTAAATGCCCACATCCCATGACTGAACTTATAAAAAAAATTACAATAGCTAATAAATGTTGGCCTAGCCAATAATCTTACATCTTGTGACTGAATAAAACAAAAAGTTGTATTGTCGTAGATTTCGAGATGGCAGAGAAAGGGAGAGGTCAAGCAATGGAGATATTTAAAAATGGCAATTAGCTTGAGAATTGGAGTACAGGAAAATAGAGCATGTCAGTGAGATCAGAGGTGATTAGTAAATGGAACTTGATATGGGATATGATACAGACAGAACACAGAATCCTGTAGGAAAGCATCTCACCCTGCATTATATTCCCCTAAAATAGCACAGCAGCACCTAGTATAAACCCATATTCTACATCTCTGTGGTACAATACATTCAGGGTTTCAAGCCTGATTGATGCTTTACCAATAAAATGTTTTGATGTATTTTGTGTATTTGTATGAAGGTTTCCTTCTTAAAAATACAGAATATATTGAAACCAAATGCATCACTTTTTAGCTACATTGTTTAAACAACTTTGCTCTCATGGTTGCGGATATTGAGAGCAATATCCTGTCTGCTACAAGTTAAAACAAATATTCTAAAGAGTGGAAAGAAAACTGTTTGCATCAAATGAAGGAGTTACTACTCCTTTGAAAATGCATATGTCCTAAGATGAAAGTTAAGGATTTTTTATTAAATTGTATTCAACTTCTTACCTCTAGTGCAGCAATTGGGCAGCTGGAGGCCAGATAGAGATCCTGAGCCAAATTGAAATCATTTGTAAACATAGCAAGATGTCCAGCTAGTAGGCTGTGGTCTTCTATTCCCTGAAATGTTAATGACAGTGCACTGAATAGTAATATTTTGGAGATGATGGAGCAGTGTTAAAATAAAGAATGTGATAATGTATCCTGCTTTATTTTTTAAAAAAAGAAAGGTGCTCCTCTAACTTCTGTTAGCCTGCAAGGAATTAGCAACTATTTGATGGTATTCCATTGGGAAGCAGGGCTGAGAAGAGAACATGTAATATATATTTGCTGCATTACTGATTAGTAGGTACACAGCTACAATTCCCACAACCTGATTTCTCCTCATTAATCAAGTTCAATAACAGACTTTTCACTCTATGTCCTGATAGTGTTCATAATTGGTAGTGATTTATTCGTCAGGCTGACATGTGACACTTGAGTATCATGCATGGGAATACTGGATAGTTGACTGCTTAATTAAGATAGGCTTGTGGCTGTTAGGCAGATATGTTTGTACTAAGAGAAAATGATTAGAGTGTCACATTGCAAGTCTCATATTTATTGGTGCTTTCTTGTTAACTTGGAAAAAAATCATTTGGAGTTTCACAGAAGTGCAATACTATCAATACTTTCAATATGAATTATACAATTACCTTTTGTGTGAAAATACCTTTCTCTAACTGTACTTTGATACTCATGCAGTCTGGTGAGTATCATGTATGGAATCATATTACAAACCATTCTTTAATTGCATTAATTACAGGCTACAATTTTGAAGATTGTAGTCACTTCAGTAATTTGCTCCCAATTTAGAAATTCAACATTCTATCCTAATTCTTATACTATTACAAATTTTTATTTAAAAATGTGCTATATTAATTGCTTGTGTAAAGTTGCCACAACACACTTAAGCATTCTGCAGATGGTTTTCTGCTTTATATTCCTTTCAAGTTGGAAATGTTATAGCTTAGTATGATGGGGAAAAGGAGTAACCAAAGGTTGATGTTTCATCTGAAGTGGGGTTTCTCGGTGCAGCCTTCTGTGGTTGCCTCTCTTCCATACCCCTCACAACATCCCTATTTCCTACCAATTACGCATCCCCTTTGTGACACCTTACTCTTTACTGTCTATTTATTCCATGCATTCACACCTCCTTGTTACTTACCTGTCCTTTAATCATTTGTTCACTCAAACTTCAGTTCTACTCATTTCACTCACGATTAATTGGCAGGAAGCCATCTTATCTACAAAGAAGTTCGTGCTTTTTTATGTTTCCCTCAAAGGGCTGCTTTCTTTTGAGCCAAAACTTAACACATTCCTTCAGGCTCGCTGGGCCAAATTCCTGGAACTGGCATTGTGGGTTTACCTACACCAAACAGACTGCAGTGGTTCAAGAAGGCAGTTCATCATCACCTTCTCATGGGCAACATGGGCAATAATAGATGGCCCAGCCAGCAATGGTCAGATCCCAAAGACGAGTAAAACAAAATTTGAATAAAGAATGAAATGATACGATATTCTCTGCATGTGTGACTGTCTCTGTGTTCACTCCTGATTTTTCCTAACCATCTTCTTCCTTTCACGTGTGTATACTTCCCTCAAGAGGCATTGCTGACTTTCAAATTGTAACATTAGAAATTCAAATTTAATAAAGATTAAAACCATTTGCCTTTCTCTTATTCTCATGTATTTTTGAAACTACATCCCATCTCACAAGTCTTATACTGAGATAGACAGGTTCTTGATTATCAAGGGGATCAAGGGTTACGGGGAGAAAGCGGGAGAATGGGGTTGAGGAACTTATCAGACATGATTGAATGGCGGAGCTGACTCAATGGGCTGAATGGCCTATTTTCTGCTCCTATGTCTTATGGTTTTATACTGAGACAGTGTGAAATAATTAGTAGGCTTCATAATTCACTTTTTTGAAAATTGAACATTAGTATAATAGAAGACATTCTCTCAGCTCAATAGATTTTCTGAAATGTATGGAACATACCACAAAAGCCCAATAGTACAGTTACTCATACCTCACTCTCACACAAACATTTTTTAAAAACTCATAAGTCTGAACTCAAAGTTGTTGAAATTTACCTTCTAATACTGGAAGCTCAAGAGAAGTACTGGAGGAGCGCAGTTCACTGAATAATATTAACTTGATTAAGGATATTAGGACAAGTATACTTGAACAGTACAATCAAATTCACTATGCAGTCAAAACTTTGGTCAAAAAATTCAACTTCAAATCTAGGGTTTTGAGAGAAACTGAGGTCTTTAAGCAACATTGTTAAGTGAGACATTAGAAGAAATAAAATATAATTCAATGGATGAATGTAATCATAAGACATAGGAGTAGAGGTAAGCTATTCAGTCTATCAAGTTGGCTCTGCCATTCAGAGATCATGGCTAATCTGATAATCCTCAAGCCCACTTTCCAGCATTATCCTCAAGACGTTTAATTCCCTTAATGATTAGGAATTTGGATCTCAGCCTTGAATAACTTAATGACCCAGACTTGACAACTCTCTGCAGTAGAGAATTTCACAGATCCATCACCCTCACAGAGAAAAATGAGATAGTGGACAACAATTAAAAACAATATGTGCATTTTTATTTTATGCAGTAGAAAGTAGTAAAGGTATTTTCACACATCCTCATAAACGACCAACCTTGATCTGCTCCAGTGAAATTACCATTCCGACATTTCCAATCATTCGATAAACACGGATTGCAAATTCTACTTCCATGTGATGGAGGCAAGCACGAGCAAACTCAGTCCATGCTGAAGGCTCACTAAGTAATTTGCACACATCCCAGGCTTCATTAAACCTGTAAGAGTCATAAGAAAAGTTGACAATATGATTTCAGGACAGTTTTGTATATTGAACAAGTTTTGGAACTTTAGCTATTGGGAAGTGTCTAAATGTGTTTATAGTGTTTTGGTATTTTGAAAAATTTTGGTACATTTCCCAGAGTTTCCCATCATTCCCTCCCAAGAACAACAATGCAGCAGGCGACCTATCCATGCAAAGGCTGCAACAGGAATGAAGGGAGCAGTGACAGTGTCTCTGGGTTAGTGCAGAGGTAGATCAGAGGCAATGGAAAGGACAAGCTCTGTGCTACTCCCTCTGCTAAATTCAAACTCAATCATTCCATGTTCCTTAACAGATTATAAGGCTGTCTGGCAGGCTTGCTAATGTTCCCAGCAGTGAAGTGTGCCACCCTACCAAAGATGTCCTCAATTGCTCTTTTTGCCTCCAACGAGCTGACATATGAGCCATTCTTTTCCTTGGCCTACTTGTAATCCATTCATATCAGATGCTATTCTCAACTTTATGTTAGCCTCCAAGCTAAGTGCAGTTCCAGTGTTGAAGTTGATAATTGCAAGTGTCAACTCACATGCCAGAACTTCATTATCAGTGCTGAGGCTGTTGCTCTCCCCAAATCCTCAGGTTTCTGCAGCTGTTTAGGCAGCAGTACTCAAGTACTCAGCAATTATGCAATAATTCCAAGTTTGTAAGCTTAATTGTCCAACCTTCAAGAGATAAGTGCAGATTTTCCAGCTGTGTGACTGACATATTCTCTTCATTATACCACCCAGTGAGAAACTGAGAGAAATGGAACACTATCCACTTTACTGTAGTTTTACTCTACATTTCCTATTCAGAATAGTTCCTGTTAAAATCAACTTATTTATACTTGTTAAGGAACAATCAAGTACAGATGTTACCAGCATCATATCAATTTCTTAACCAAAGGATTAATAGTAACATTACAAAATTCAAACAACATCTCATGAAATAAATTTGCTGGTATTTAAACAACTAGCATAGTTTTATATTTCTTACAAAATCTCTCACCTTTTCAGCATTAAACACTGGGTCAACATTGGCTGAAGATCATTCGGTCCAAGGTCCTTCAATCCAGCAAGGAAAGAATGCGTGCTTAAAAGAATAGTGTTGATTTTCCCACTCTGTGTCTGACATGTTAACTCTCCGTTATACAACAATAGTGGTTTGTGAGAAAAAGGAAGTTTAGTAGCTCCTGCCAGTATGACTTTAGAACCTGTGAAGTAAATATGAAAAGAAACAGATTGCTGTACCAGATGATGATCAATTTAGGAAAGTATATAGGGAACAAAATAAAGGATTAAAAAATACCTTAACTGGTAAACTATTCATTACATGGTATGCATGGCTAGTGGGTGGTTGAATTTTAAAAATTCAAGAAAAAAGTGGTGTTTGGAACTTATGTTGAGTGAAAGATTATTGGAGTTAGGATGTATGTGTAGTTGAGACGAAAGTCAGATCAGCCATGATCTTACTGCATGATAACGCAGGCTTGAGGGGCTGGATAGCCTATTCCGGTGTTTTATGCTGAGAGAAATCTATCTTTCCTCTTCAGTCTTTGATTATGTTGTAGCCCTCCAAATTGCATGTCCACCCTTTCTTGCAATCCCATAAGAGATTAACTCCATTTATGTGATTACCCTTGCAAAACACAAATCACAATTTTTGACTACTGCACATTACCTTTCCTCATCTTTCTCTACCTCTCAGCAGCCTTTGCCACAGCTGACAACAGCAACCAACATTAATGACTCTCCTCGGCCGTCCTATCTTGCGGGCTTGCTCTCTTTGGTTTCACTATCTATTCATAGATTTGGGGTCAGCTTTCACAGTAAAATCGATGATAGTGATCTCTATTTCTCTTAACCTCTTCACTACAGATGTATAACTAGTTCTGAAGGATCAGCGGACCAGAAACAGAATAATGGATAGGCACTCACATTGTCAGAATGTGACTTGTGGCACTCCACAAGGATGTGTTAGGGACTCAATTATTCACATTAATTTTTAACAACTTGAATAATGGCATAGAAAGTCATATATCCTAATTTGCTGATGACACAGAGTTGGCAGCATTGGAGACAGTGTAAATGATAACATAAAATTACCAAGGGATATTGATAGACTAGGTTAATGGGCAAAACTGAGGTAGATGATGTTCTATGTAAGCAAGCGTGAGGTTATCCATTTTGGATCAAAAAAGGATAGATCACAGATGGTATGTAGTTAAATACACTGGATGTACAAAGAGACTTGGGTATTCAGGTGTACAGGTCTTTAAAATGTCATGAACAGGTGCAGAAAATAATCAAGAAACCTTATGGAATGCTGACCTTTATATCTGGAGGACTGGAGTACCAGGATGCAGGAGTTATGCTGCAGCTTTATAAAACCCTGGTTTGACTCCACTCAGAGTAAAGTCAACAGGTCTTAGGAAGGACATGGTCTTGAAGGGAGTAAAACGTAGGTTTACAAGGATGATACCTAGACATCAGGCGTTGTGTTGTGAGAACAGATTATACAAATTAGGCCTGGTTTTCTAGAATTTAGAAAGTTGAGAGGTTATCTGATTGCAACCTTCAAGATAATAACAGGAAAAGACAGGGTAGAAAAGATAAGCTATTTCCACTGGTTGGAGATTCTAGAACCAGGAGGCATACTCTAAAAATTAGAGTCAGACCGTTCAGGAGAGATGTTAAGAAGCATGTCTACACACAAAAGATGGTAGAGGTTTGGAATTCTCTTCCACAGATAGCAGTTGATGCTAGATTGGTTGTTAATTTTAAATCTGAGCTGAATAAGTGTTAAGTATTCAGGGATATGGGCCGAAGTCAGGTATATGAAGTTAGGCCACGGATCAGCCATGATCTCATTGAATGGCAGAACAGGCACAAGGGGCTAAATGGTCTATTCCTGCTTTTTCATCCTATGTCCAATGAAGCTACACCCATTGTGATATTATAGTCCCTCCATCATAAAGTCACAAGTGGGGATGTTTGCTGATGATGAGACAATTTGAGACTCCTCAGATACTGAAGCAATCCATGTTCAAATGCAACAAGATCTGGACAATATCTAATTTGGGTTGACAAGTGACAAGTAACATTCATGCCACACAAATGCCAGGTAATGATCGTCTCCAGTAAGAGACAATCTAACCACAGGCCCTAAACATTCAACGGCACTGGCATCACTGAATACCCCATTATCAACATCCTGGGGAGTTACCATTTACCAAAAGCTCAACTGGACTCGCCAATATAAACACTGTGGCTACAACAGCAGGTCATAGGCTAGGAATACTGTGGTGTGTAACTCATTTCCTGACTCCCCAAAGCCTGTCCACCATCTAAAAGTCACAAGTCAAGAGTGCGATGGAATACTCTCCAATTATCTGGATGGGTGCAGCTCCAACAATACTCAAGCAGCTTGACAACATCCAGGACAAATCAGTCCGCTTAACTGGCGCCACATTCATAAGCACCTACTCCCTCCTCCACCGATGCTCAGTAGCAGCAAGGTGCACATCTACAATATGCTCTGTAGAAATGCGCTAAAGATCGTTAGGCAGCACCTTCCATCTGGTAGGGCAAGGGCAGCAGATAAGTGGGAATACCACCATCTGCATGTTCCCCGCTAAGCCAATCACCAACCTGACTTGGAAATATACGCTGTTCCTTCTCTGTGGCTGGGTCAAAATCCTGGAATTCTATCCTTAAGACACTGTGGGTCTACCTAGAGACATGGACTGCACCAGTTCAAGAAGGTAGCTCACTACCGCCTTCCTAAGGGCAGCTAGGGGCAAGCAGTAAATGCTCGCCAACCAGCAATGCCCACGTTAAAAAAAGCAACAAAAAAAACACAGCCGGATAACAGGTTATTCTAGACTATACAATGCAATTAGAAAAGATGAATTAATAATTTTGTTATGTGCAATCCTTTGAGGAAGAGTGACCATAATACGATAAAATTCTTCACTAAGAAAGTGAAGCTGTTGAATCTGAAACTAAGGTCCTATAAAGAGAACTACAAGAGTGTGAAGCGTGAATTAAAAAGGATGGGGTAAGGAATCTTACTAAAAGGGATGATGCTGGCTAAGCAATGATTAATATTTAAAGAATGTGTGCATGCATTACCAAATTATTCCTGTCTGGCACAAACATTAAAGGGTAAAGGTTATAAAATTGCTTATAAAATAAATTATGAATACTGGATCCATGGACTAAATGAATTATAGATCCAAAGAAGCGACATAAAATCACCAGAAATACTAGCAAGCCTGAGGATTAGGATTATTTTAGAATTCAGCAAATAGGGGCAAATTGTTAATCATGAGGAGAGAAGAACAAAATCACAGAGAATACAAAAACAGACTATAAAAGCTTCTATAACTACATGAAAGGGAAAAAGATCAGTCATGACAAATGTAGGTCCCTTACAGACAGAGCTAAGGACATTATAATAGGGAACTAAGAAATGGCAGAAGAATTGAACACGTATTTTGTTTCTTTCTTCACAAAACAAAAAGGTACAAATAATCTCCCAGAAATGTTGAAGAGTCAAGGGTCTAATGGGAGGGCAGAACTGAAGGAAATAGTGCTCAGACAATTAAAGGGGTTAAAGGTTAACAAATCACCAGGGCCTGATAACCTAGTCAGCATGGATTTACGAAATGGACATTGCACTTGACAAATCTACTAGAATTTTTTTTGAGGATGTAACTAGTTGAATTGATAAGGGAGAACAAGTGAATGCCGCTTACTTGGACTTCAAAAAGGCTTTCGATAAAGTTCTACATAATAGATTAGCATCACATGGAATGGGGGCAGTGTAATGACAATGGATGAAGAACTGGTTGGCAGACAGGCAACAAACAGTACAAATAAATGGGTCTTTTTCTGAGTGGCAGTCTGTGATTAGTGTGGTACTGTAAGGATCAATGCTTGGGCCCAGCTATTCACAATATAAATTAATAATTTAGATGAAGGGACTAAATGCAATATCTCCAAGTTTGCAAACAACACAAAGCTGACTGGAGGGGCAGGGATTTGGCAGATTTTGAGGAGGATGCAGAGATGCTTCAGTGAGATTTGTACAAGCTGTGTGAATGGGCAAATGCATGGCAGATGAAATATAATGTAGATAAATATGAGGTTATCCACTTTGCTAACAAAGACAGGAAGGCCGATTATTATCTGAATGTTGATAGACTGGGAAAGGGAAAGTGTCCTGGATGTCCTTTCACACAAGTTGCTGTAAGCAGATGACACAGTTGATGAATAAAGCAAATGGAATGTTGGCGTTCATAGTGAGCAGTCTCAGGTATAGGAGGGATGCAGTTGTACAGAGCCTTGGTGATACCACATCTAGAATACAAGTACAGGTGGTAATTATATAGTGAATGGCAGAATCCTCAGGAGTATGCAGAGAGATCTGGATATAGAGGGCCACAGATCACTGAAGGTGGCAGCGCAGGTAGATAAGGAAGTAAAAAGACCTATGGCATGCTTGCCTTCATTTGAAAGGGCATTGAGTACAAGGATAGACAAGTTATGCTGCAGCTTTATAGAACTTCAGTTAGGCTACACTTGGAATATTGCATACAGTTCTGGCCACCACACTACAAGAAGGATGTGGATGCTTTGGAGAAGGTAGAAAAGGTTTACCAGGATGCTTCTGGTATAGGGGATTTTAGCTATGAAGAAAGTTTGAACAGACAGGGTTTGTTTTGACTGGAATGCAGGAGTTGAGGGACGATCTGATAGGAGCTTATAAGATTGTGAATGGCATGGATAGAGCGGAAAGTAAGAGGCTTTTTCCCTGGGGTGGAGAGGTCAATTACTAGGAGACATAGTATCAGGGTGGGGGATGGTGAAAAATTCACAAAAGATGTCCAAGGCATGTTTTTCACACAAAGGGTGGTGCACGCCTGGAACAGGCTGCCAGAAGAGGTGGTAGAAGCAGACACAATAACAGCATTCAAGGAACACCAGGACGAATACATGAATAGGAAGGGAATAGAGGGTTACAGATCCTGTAAATGAAGACTGTTTTAGTATGGAAGGGCAACATGCGTCAGCACAGGCTTGGAGGGCTAAAGGGCCTGTTCCGGTACTGTATTGCTCTTTGTTCACTTATATCTCCTTAACTGAGGGTGGATGTTCTGGCTATGGAGGGACGGCAACAAAGGTTGACCAGACTGACTCCTGGGATGGTATTGACATATGAAGAGAGAGTGAATTGGTTCGGACTATATTCACTGGAGTTTAGATGAATGAGGGGGAATTGCATAGAAACCTACTAAATTCTACCAGGATTGGACAGGGTATGGAGGAAGGATGTTCCTAATGACTGGGGAATCCAGACGAGGGTCGCAGTTTAAGGATATGAGGTAGGCCATTTAGAACTGAGGGGAGAAGAAATTTCTTCACCCAGAGAGCAGTGACCCTGTGGCAATGCTTTACCACAGACAGTCATTGAGGCCAAAACGTCTACCTTGAATTGTATCCTTGTGAAAAACGTAGGTATACACCTTGTCATCATCATAAGCAATAAAGACTCCTTTGTCCATTGTAAAGTGTTCCCAGAGAATGCTTCTAACAGTAGTGGGAAAGTTTGGGATCTCATATATAGTATCAATCACCTTTAAAAGAAGAGTTCAATGAGAATCAAAGTTGTTCAAATATAAACATACATACTTATACAAACACACAAAAACATTGGAGTGCTTTGAAAATTACAGTAACCTGCACTGTAAATACAAATATTAAAGCCCACTCAAAATACCAAAACAGAAAAGTCTAAACATTTGCAGTCTAGATGGCAACTAAACGTTTATATGGTGAATAAATAATCAAGAATATTTTAACTTTTTTGATAACTGCTATTGCCATTAATGAATGAATGAATAATTTGTCATATGCATTTTACAGTAAATAGTACAGTAAATTACAGTGAAAAGCTTCAAATGAAGCCACAATCCGGCATCATTTTGAATAGTTTAAGAATAAAAAGAAATAACTGAAAGAGAGTTTATCTTCTTTCTGCCACTTCCACCATGACTCACCAATGACACCTGCACTGCCGTCTCTGCCCCTGCCATTAACACCCCAACCCCACTGCAGATATGAAATATGGAAATGAGAACTGAAGCATGGTATGATAGTGTCACAAAACCTGATGACTCTGAAAACACCATCACTTACAGGGCAGTAGACAAACCCATCGCTCTTGTCATCAATGAATGCCATTCTAGTCCCGCTGGGATCTGGGAAAACTTTACGGACACTGACTGAATGGCGATATTCATTCACATACTGCCAATCCTCAATGTAGAAATATTGGATGATCCCTGTCTAAACAAGAAAGCAATGGAAATATTGTTAATCTTTTCAATGCAACATCTCTGATAACTACCTAGTTAAGTTGCAAGGAACAAAAATCCACTACCCAAGATAATGACAAATATATATTACAATATTATAATGGTATGTGTACCAGATGTGAGAACTATTCCTGACTTTCTTTGAGTACCCATGGTTAGGGCTACTTATCTTGCATGTAAATAATGATCACCCACATCAGAATGCATGCACCTTGTGACATTTTCCAGGGTGAGGTGGGAGAGGGTGAAACAGTGGGTGAGAAAGATAGTGCTGACCTGCCATTTGCCAACAAACACCACCAGCATATTTTAAAGTCTGCCTCCTTTTTAAAGGGAGCTGATGTTATAAAATAGAGTTGACATTTGTTGGGGATCGTGACTGCCATGGAATCATGATGGGTGATGAGTAGATGAATGTCATTTGTTCTGTGTCTCCATGAAATTGCCAACAGGACAAATGGCAAAGTAAAACCCTCCTGATCCTGACTACTATCCCTTAAAATCCTACTTCCACTCGTGTTGTTGCTCAAATTCCATCCTCAGAGTGGGATCGAGACTGAGAACATTTGATCTCCCAGGTTTCTCTTGTTAACTGTCCAATGTGACTATAGGAAAGGGTTTAACTTTTTATTTTATAGCTCCTAAATACAGAATAAGTGTTGCAAGGCATCAGATCCACTGCACCTTCTGTACACCAGGGATAACTGAAGCATTTGATAGAATTTCAGTCCAGATTTTTAGCCAGACACCCCAGTAGAAATCAGTTCTGCTCCTTCATCATCATGGAAGGCAGGTTATTTCTGACATCCACAGTGGACTGATCAGAATAGGACACAGGAAAGGCTTTGTGAGGACAATGGCATGCAAGAAGGTTCTGAGGGAACTGCAAAAATATTGTCACAAATGAAAAGCCAAAGATGATCTAGTTCAGGTTTAAAAAGTGACTGAGATACTTCCTTCTGGACATGAAAGGAAATACTGGATAGGGATTTGATAATGTAAGGTTGAAAGGAAGTGAACAAAGATGGTCTTGTCCATAGTAATATCTACTGACCATGGGCAAAAAGTGGTCACAAAGGTGTGAGGAACATCATCCAACAACTAACTCTTTGTATGGAACTAGAGACTCTTCCAGTTTCCTTTTTAACTGTACCAAGCTGACAAGATTCTATTTAGGGTTCAGTGGAAGAATAAATCAGAAGAATGTGAATGATTCAAATGCCAACGCAGTGTGTCTCAGATTAAAAAACGGTATAGTATAGAAGGAAGCCATTTCATCCAACAAGTCTGCACCATGCTTTCTGCCTCCACCAAGAAATCTCCATTTTTGTCTCTAATTTGTGCACTGTTCCTCTGCCCATTTGTTTACTGGTAATTTACCTATAGAAGACTTTTACATTCCTTTCCATGTTAGCCTCCAAACTGTTCTCATTTTATGTCCTTGTCCTTTTGTTTTCACTTTTCCAATTTACATTTATGTTTAGCCGGATTCTCTTTAATATTATCAAGCTGACATCTGCACCTAGCCTGTACTTTAAAGGCCACACTTCTGCCATTCAGTCTTTTTATTCCAATTCACCTGGGCCAGATCATTCCTCAATTTCATGAAATTATCCCAGCTCTAGCTAAGTATCTTTGTTTTAGGTTATTCTTGCCTATTTCCATAACAAGTCTAAATCTTACAGTGCTATGATCATTATTTCTGATATGCTCCTCACTGTACCAACCCTGCTCAGTGGGTAGCATTCTTGCTTCTGAATCAGAAGGTTATGATCCAAATTCCACTTCAGAGACTTCAGCACAAAAATCTAGACAGATATTCTCGTGCAGTACTTAAGGAATGCTGCACTGTCAGAGTTGTCACTCATGGATGAGACATTAAATCAACCTCTCCTCTGACACTAAGAAGAGCAGGCAAATTATTTTCTCCCCCACGTTTTGGTGACCTACAAATTCATGAAATAACAAATCAGCTCCTCTACTGTTTAATATGGTACTTACATCTGTTCCATAGACTAAGAAATCAGCAGTAAGTGCGTGGCACATAACTCGATATTTGTCATCATGTCCTGGAAAAAGACGAGTTTCCCTTTCCTCCTGAGCTTCAATGCCTTCCATTTCAATCTGCAACCAAGACAGGAAGGGTCACGACCTTCTCAATGCCAAATAAACCACATTTACTATAAGAATGCAACATTTCAATTTCAATAAATTGAAACCACCCTCCATCAGCCTTAAAATGAACAAAGGTAGGACATGAGGTATATACTATAAGTCACAAATTTATTGGATAATAATAGGAGTTTAGAACAACATAGTTTAAAATAGCATAGAGTGATTGAAGTTTTTCTGTCACAAAGGCTACTGCATCCACAGCCCATGCATGATTATTCTATTCTGACTTTTCTCTCCTCCTGTCCCACTGGTTAATTCTCTACTTTCAGAAAGACTAAGTTCCTTCTCATACCTTCATTGAGGAAAGAAAATTGAACAATTCTATTAATCACTGTAGCCCATATTACTCTTCAATAAATATTGATGTAGCACCCCAATAAAGGTGTCAACACACCTGAAATAATTTTTTTGACATTCTAAAATACACCAATTACTGAGCGTTCACATCCTGAGATAACAAGGATACTTAAAAAAAAACTCTACCTGGGAACATGCCAAACTTTACTCCTCCTAACCTGATAAAAACGAAAAGAACTGCGGATGCTGTAAATCAGGAACAAAAACAACGTTGCTGGAAAAGCTCAGCGGGTCTGGCAGCATCTGTGAAGGAGAAAACAGTTAACGTTTCAGGTCCGGAGACCGTTCCTCAGAAATGAGGCCAACTTTGACAAGGGAACCTCTGAAATGTCCACCTTCTTCCTCAACCAAGGATTCCCCAGCTTCGTTGTCGACAGGGCCCTCAACCAGGTCCGACCCATCTCCTGCATTTCCACCCTAACTCCTTCTCTTCTGTCCTGCAACAGCGATAGGGTTCCTCTTGTCCGTACCTACCATCCTCCCATCATCCACATCCAGAAGATCATCAGGTGCCATTTCCACCACCTCCAGCAAGACACATATTCCCCTCCCCTCCCCTCCACCTTCCACAGGGACCGTTCCCTCTGGGGCACCCTGGTCCACACTTCCTTCACCCCAACACCCCCCCCAGAGCCCAACGGCACCTTCCCCTGTGACCGGCGAAGGTGCAACGCCTGTCCATTTACCTCCTCCCTCCCCAGTATCCAAGGGCCCAAACATACCTTCCAGGTGAAGCAACACTTCACTTGCACTTCCCAGAATCTAGTCTACTGTATTTGCGGCTCACAATGTGGTCTCCTCTATACTGGGGAAACAAAGCTCAGACTGGGTGACCACTTTGCAGAACATCTAAATTCTGCTCACAAAAAAGACCCTGAGCTACCTGTTGCCTGCCACTTTAACACAGCACACTGTTCCCTGGCCAAAATCTCTGTCTCTGGCTTGCTGCAGTGTTCCAGTGAAGCTCAATGCAAGCTGGAAGAAGAACACCTCATTTTCCGCTTGGGGACTCTGCAGCCCTCCGGACTCAATATCGAATTCAATAATTTTAGGGCCTAAACTCTCCCATGTCCCAGCCCCCTACCTCACACACCAGGCCTTGTTACCACATAGCCTGCCATTACACACCACCTGTTGTTTGTCACTAATAGTCCCCAGTAACAACTATTCACCTTCCCAGCCTGATCGTTATCAACTCTCTCTGTCCAACTGCCCTTTTCTCTCTTTAGGCTCTATCCTATCGTTTACACTCTATCTCATTCCCCTCCCTTTTTTCTGTGTATAAACTGACATTTTCCCAGCCACCATCAGGTCTGAGGAACGGTCACTGGACCCAAAATGTTAATTCTGATTTTTCCTTCACAGATACTGCCAGACCCACTGAGCTTTTCCAGTAACTTTCTTTTTGTTCCACCTAACCTGAGGTGGTCAACATTTGTGGTCTCATGTCATTACCCTTTGACAGAAATTTCTGCCTGGAAACGGACCAAGAATCCACTATAAACCTGAAAGATCTTCAATCACAGTAATGGCTTTTGGTTCTGGGATCTTCTGACCAGTATAAAAAGAGCAACCAAAAGGACTTTGGCACAAACATTATCTTTCAGAATCTTCGCTTTGATGCACAGATGTACTTCTTCTCTGCACTTCTCCAAAAAGGATTCATTTATCATACAGAAAATGAGTGCAACATTCAAACTTTGCTTGTACAGGAAGTGAATGTTTTTGCCTGCTCCAGTTATAAATAATGTAATGGATTTGGAAGGTTTTACACCACAGATACATAATGTCCCTCAAGTACAAACCCCTTAAATTTATTGATTGTTAACAGATTTTTTACCAATAGAGGATAACCAGGTGTTAGTTTTCAAAATGTCAAGCTGATAATAGCAAGTAAACAATCCTTATTTAACATGCAGCATTTTAGACATTTTCCAGGTTATTAGTTTTGAATTGTTTTCTCCTTATGCCCAGGACAATAGGTCCTCTTCTGTTTGTCATTCATATTAATAATTTGGATGCGCATATAGAAGGCATGGTTAGTAAAGTTGCAGATGACATCAAAATTGGTGGCACAGATGACATTGAAGAAGGTTTTCTAAGATTACAAAGGGATCTTGATCAAATGGGTCGATGAGCTGAAAAATGACAGATGGAGTTCAATCTGGCCAAAATGCGAGGTTTGCATTTTGGTACAACAAGGTTAGGGCTTATAAAATTAATGATAAGGCCTTGGGGTAGTGTTGTATACCAGAAGGACCTAGGGGTTTAACTACATAATTCTTTGACGTTTGCGTCACACGTAGACAGGGTAGTTAAAAAGACATTTGGCATGCTTGCCTTCATTGCTCAGTCTTTTGAGTACAGGAAGTCATGTTGAGGTTATGCAGGATATTGGTGAGGCCTTTTCTAGAATATCGTGTCCAGTTCTGGTTGCCCAGTTATAGAAAGGATATTATTAAGCTGGAGATGGATCAGAAGAGATTTACCAGTATGTTGCTGGGTACAGAAGGCTTGAATTATAAAGAAAGCCTGGATAGGCTGGGCCTATTTTCATTGGAGTGTAGGAGGTTTACAGGCAGCCTTATTGAAGTTTATAAAATAATGAGGGGTATACATAGAGTTAGTGGTAGTTATCTTTTCCCTAGGATGGGGGATTTCAAGACTAGGGGACACATCTTTAAGGTGAGAGGAGACAGATTTTTAAAAAAAATCAGGCTTTTTTTTTACACAGAAGAAGGCATCTGTGGAATGAACTTCCAGAGGAGGTGGTAGATGTGGGTACAATTACAGCATTTAAAAGACATTTGGATAAGTACACAAATAGGAAAGGTTTGGAGGGATAAGGGCTGGGAGCAGGCAGGTGGGACTAGTTTAGTTTGGGATTATGTTCAGCTGGTTGGACCAAAGGATCTATTTCTGTGCTGTATGACTCTATGACTATGATAGTTTTGATTAGTAGATTCTGAAATATAATTCTTTAAAGTTCAAAATTCAAAGTTCGTACATCTAATTCCAAACCAACATTTGAACGTTTGCTACGGGCATAAAAATAACAGTAAGTCCTGATCCGTTCATCAACTGCTGGCTTGAATCAAACCATAAGAATTAAGAGCAACAGTAGGCCATTCAGCCCATAAAGTCAACTCTGCTGTTCAACAAAAACGTGACTGATCTGATAAACCTCAGTTCCACTTTCCTGCCTTATTCCCTAACACTTGATTTCCTTAATGATAGACAAATTTGTCTATCTCAATATGAGAATACATGCCTACTGAACAAATCATTAAGAATAAAGTACATATGTTCAAAACAGAAAATATATAAAATGTAGTGTAATCAATAATGGCTATAAAATCGAATAGGCACATGCTTCTGGTGCAAAGTAGGCAATGCATTTTTAATATGTGCCTGATGACAAGAAGACAAACTGAATTACAGGATAGGACTTCATTTGACGGAACAGATGAGCTTCCAACATTAATTGGGCATCCAATGATAGTTCACAAGTTGGGGTTTGATGAAATGCAGTTAGGCCCACTGTCTCTGAACAAAGGCGAAATGTGGCTTCCACAGGTAAAAAAAATTACATATTCTTCTTACCACTACTTTAGTGCTATCCAACAGTTCCTTTAAGGATCTGTACTATTATTAAACAATTCAATCAGGGTCCTATAACTGATGTTAGGATGCAAGAACCCTGACACTTATATCAGGTGGACACTTCAGACACTTAAAAAAATGCCTGTATTCAATTTGGTAGCCAATGCACTGCTATGGAGATCAGAAATTAGTCTTCTTAACATTTATATTGCTCTTATCTATTACATTCAATTCTCCAAGTCATCCATCTGTATTCTCTCTCAACTAGCCCAAGTTCAGCTTCAGTACATCACTCCACTGTGAGTACATGGTAATGAAAGCCATTCTCAGTTTTGTTATTTTGATATTCATGTAGGAGCATACAATGTAGAATTTAGAGAATGCAGAATTTAGAGAATACAGAATTTAGATACTGAAACGTTCAGAGTAGTAAATTTCACTTTGAAATCGATGTGTCCATAATGAGAATTAGTAAACACATTTTAGAATCTAGTGCTTAACAAAGTTGTAATTAACTCCTTTACCGCTCTATTACAGAAACTGGAACACAGGAGACTATTCAACCTATGGCCTATACCAGTGCTAGGTCTTCAACTGAAGGAAATTCTCTAATTCCACTTCACTGCACCATTCGCATGCCTTTTCAAATATCTCCTTTTAAAAACTTAATCAGTTTCATTTAATATGATGTTATAATCTCTGTCATGGCAGTTGACTTTTGTGAAGCATTCACTAAACTTGTATGAAAAAAAATCACCTAGCTAAATCTCCATCTACTGGAACTAATCTTATATACTTACCATCTTATAAACATTTCCTAATTCTGAAGACTTTATTTGTTTCACAGTTAATGTTCAGTGTCCAAGTAGAGAATCCAATATGCCATAGATCAGAGGAAAATGTCATGTGATTCACCATAGCCAGAGGTATGTATGATTAATATGCTATGGTCGTCACATCATCTGGCTTGGAGATTCCACGAGAAGGAA